AATAGGTATTGGAACGTCTAAGAAGGTAGGCTGAGAGTTCTCAGCAGCTGGCCTTAGATGCGTTATTTCCGGCAATTAATTGTTTGCCAACACAAAAAGCCAGTTCAGATTCATTCACAAAACTGGAAATATACCAAGCCTTGCGACATTATTAGATGGAGAAAACCGGAGACAGGAATCAGATTCCTCCGGAGTCAACTAAATATGAAAGAACGGGAACAGCAGAAAAATTCCATGCCCTGTTTCATCAAAAGTAGACCCAAAAAGGTTTCATTGGAGAATGGAATTGGGGAGTAACTGTCCTTATATTTAAAAGAGGTCAGACGACTAAGTGTTTCAATCATCGTGGCATCACTCTACTGTCCATTCGAGGAAAACTTCTCTCCTGAAAAACCTAAGGCGGGCAGTTGATGGGAAACTTCGCCAAAATCAAACGGGCTTCCGGCCATGGTACTGCTACTACTGCTACCCCGACCAAACTTTCACGCGGCGTTGGATCATTGAGCAGTGCCGACAATTCCAGTTGTCTTGGTTTGCCAATTGCATTGAATTCAGTTACCTCGACGTTGAGGCTGTGTTTGATTCACCACTGATTCACCTATTGTCTGACGATATGGAAAATCTTAAAATACTTTGTAATACCTGAGCACATCATTTACACTTTGAAAGAGATGGACGTCGGAGGCATGTCTGCTATCAAGCGAATTAGAATTATCTGAGTGGTTCCTTATTAACTTTGGAGTTAGCCAGGGACATGTGCCTCGCCTTCGCTATTCAACGTTGTTCTCGACTTTCTTCGAAACAGTGCTTACCCCGGCCAAAAGAGGTGTCATTCAAGGAGGAAGAGGCAGTTAAAGATATCTGGCTAAGTATCCTGCTGAATTAGAGTGTGCAGCTGCTACTGCCGGGCAGCGAGCTCTGTAACCTGACGGTATCCGTATTCAATACAACTGCGAAAGCCCGCCTCTTCATTAACGTCCGATAGTCAAAGCTGTGAGGAACCTATCCGGCACAGCTGATTTACAGATCGAACGGGAAGGTGAAAGGTTTGATGCAGGCAACGAATTTTAGTAGCTCGGCTCTATCATCTCTGGCGATGGAGTCATCAGAGTGCGATAGGAGGCACGTCCTAACCTTAGGTACTCTTGGAAACCTGTCCAATATTTGTCCTGAGAATGGAGTACTTCTTACCACAGAAGTCTGTCTGTACCTTGCCTCTTATATCAGTGTTGTCGTTGTCGACGGCATGGAGACAGTTGTTCTAACGAAGAAGCGAGAACGACGACTGAATGCGCACGTCAGCTTTTGCTTTGATATAGTACACGATTAAATGACAGGTGACTTCAGTAGTCATGAATATTTAGAAAAAGGGTTTGACCCTGCAATACCAGACTGGCTGAGTAAATTGTCTCCCGCCGCGACCCAACGTAATTATCATCTCAACAAACACAACAACACATTACCCACCAAACTTTGATTTTATGCTAAGCTTATATTTCACCATGTTGTAGCACTATTTTGCGCACTATGTTAACTGCAGCAGGTTAACTAATTATTTTTGTGATACTCGAAGTAATAATCATTTAAACGTGACCGTATGCAAGTGAGTTCGATACGCGTTGCTACCTTCGAGTTACCTTCGAGTTCCTTGTAAAACAACTGAAGGCAACCGAAGCCGATCTGAAACGACGATTCTACGACTGGTTTCGTTTTGCAAAGCAGATGAATGTTCAGGTTGACCGAGTCCCTGGTTCTGAACTGCTGGCAAGATGCAAGGACGAGACATTGGTGACAGTCTCGCACAAACACACTGAAAGCGTCAATCAGCAATGCTCGAGCACGATCTGGACAAGTGGCAGCGATCATCATACCTGCCGCTACACGCACCAATGATTATCGAACATTCCGAGCAATCGTCTATGGACACTGCGCCTGCGTGGTCCAAGATGAACACGTAACACCCCTTCAAAACAGACAGACCTCAACGCAGTGATGAATCGGTACATTCGGCGAGAAGTACCTTGCAGTTCTGAATTAGGAACTGCTGACCGTTGATCGTGTTTGGCGATTTGACCATGACGGTACCATTGCCATTGGCGAATATGTAATCCTCTGGGTTCATGTTGCTGCGGTCGCTCCTGAGAACGCGATCAGACAAGCAGGTAAATTTAAACTATAAGCTAACCATGAATAGGTCTTGCCACTGTCCTCTTTGATTACTGTATTTTTGCCGATGTGCGAATTTTCACTCGTAAGACATTTTGACAATAGCCAACCCATCGAGCGGAGCATTCATGTTGCTACAGCAACAGTCATAAACTTAAAGTCAATCGATAGCCTGTTTGATGCTATCGCTTTCTCATTTGATCGCTAGCCAGATAATTTCTTCTGCGATTACAGCTACAACTAAACCATCATATGCTTGGTCCGAAGCTCGTTCTTCAAACTAATCACAGTTCATCTGCCGATATTCAGGAGGCTTTAACTAATGCTCAGAACGCTGTTCGGAACTATTCAACAGTCACAAAAATATGCAAAGCATTATTTCAGAATTATACTTTAGTTTGTGTGCTTCCCATCATTACTGACGATGTCTCAGTATTCTACCCTGCCTAATGAAGGGTGATGTCATCTCGGCGAATTTCCCGAGTTAGCGGTGTGACATTACGGATATAGTGACTAAAGTGGTGAAACAGGTCACGCTGGCAAAATTATCGCCCGGATAGGATTTTTTTCGATTCCTGCTCTTACCCATTGTAAAAAGCCTTGCCCTGTCGGTATAGCAGGCTGAAACCGATGAAACTATATAGACCTAAATGTACCGATACTCATGGGCTATTCACTGCTCACTCGCTTGCCAGTTCAACGTCAGTTGACGCAACTATTCTGTCACTCGTTTTTCGCCTGTCAAGGATCTGGTTAAACCTCTAACCGCTTTGATTCCGTATCCCCGTTGAAGGCTTATTTTCATGTTGTTTTCAAACATCAGCTATAAGGCTATCATTGCTTTGTATACCGGTCGTTTACGAGATCGTAACGAGCTATCATGGCAACCGTAACGGCTTAGTCGAAACCCCCTAGCGATTTACTCTTTGAATTTTGTTCGTTCATGGTGAAAATGATGACGAGGCTGATTATGAAACTGCAACACATGGAGTTAGACGTATTGATAAGTAAAACTCCTTGGAATCGTGCCATTCAATAGTTCAAATACAAACTGCCTTTTTAACTTCTGAACAACATTAGTGGGTCAATAAAAATATATAAATATTTTGAAACAGCGTATAAGTCGAGCAAACGATTAAAAGTTCACTTATCACGAAGGTTTTGGAACTCGGGCATGGTGTTCTTCTGTCACGACTACAATGGAATACAGATAAAAAAGGCGCGTGCCTTGTGCGTGTTTCATTTAAAGCGAACTATAGGTATTTATAAGTGATTTATAATTTATTTAGCGAATTTATAAGTACAACAGTAAATGAACAGGCACAAAATAGAATCAGGCATGGCGAGGAAAACAGGGTAAAGGACAAGACAAGGATGATCAAGGATGACAGGCATCCACGTAGGCAATTTACATTATAAACGGCAACAGTTGACTTATCCTTGTTTATGATTAACGAGGATCACCTGTGGCTAATACCGACGCTTACGTTCGTCTGTCACGTGTAATTTGTCGCCATTAACCTCCCTATCCCACTTTGCTCATCGTCCCATCTGAGCCGAGGTATTCCAATTTGGCGCTTCAGTTCCCTTCTGTATACCTATCTGTCACGACCGAAGTCCATCGTTCATCCGTCAAGCGCGTGATGTCACATGCAGATTGTCATTTTCTTTCTTGTAAAACTGATGCAATGTCCTGCACTTTCATATATCTGTTTATTTCGTCATTTCGCACGGTGTCCATGATGGAAACTCCTGTTTATATACGCAATTGATAGCTTTCTGCTTTCAAGAACAGAAAGTACCGTTTTTAATATTCAAATATTCAACGCCTGCGATATTTTCTAATGAGCTCTGAACCAAAGGAATAGACAAACACAACTGTCTGTCCCAATATGGCATACTCAGTGACTTCGCCCATTCGGTAATCAGTAATGGTAAATGGTAGTGAATAGGATTGGTCAGATTGTTAACAAACGGTTGGTCATTCTTTCGCTCCATACTTTGGACGCCCCTCCCAGCCGGCTCAAGGTATTTCTTGTTATATTTTGTACTGAGTTCCTTCATACCAGCTTACGTATTCACGTTTTGATTCGCCGCTAAATTTTTTTTATATTGTGCAAAATGGTTTCAACAGTACTCGCGTGTGATCAGCTATCGATCAGCAGGTTCCGTTACTCAGGTGATTATTTTAGTGCCCTTTGTTCCGGGCTGAGATAACGATTCCTACTAAAGATTTCAAAACACTGCCGCCTTTGATCTTCTACGTAATACAGCACACAGATGCGTATATGGTCGTCCTGCAGGATGCAAATTTTCTGTATTCTACGAACACCCATTGACGTTCAAAGCAAAACTTTAATTTGCTCAGTGTAACAGTTCCTCTTCCTGCATTGCTCATAGCTTCTTAGTTGCAGACTCTTTCTTGTTTGCCCAAAGAGTTCGAGTATGGTTTGGTTTTCTGGTTTGCATCTTGTGATACGTACATAAATCTCATGTATTTGTTTCATTTTTGTTCAAAAATGGAATTCTTTAGCGATCCCATTCAAACAATGAACTATTTACCATTTACTATGACAACAGCTGTGGTTGATTGGATTGATGTGCTTGCCATTATTTTTGTCTTTGTCCTGCTAATTCGAAATGCAATTTGCTTGCTCTTTAACACTGGCTCACAAGCGTGGCTTCAACTTTTTTTGACTTCGTTCCCAACATAGCGATGTCGTCAGCAAATCGAATCTGCCGCTGATTAAAAATTTTCTATTCCATAGGCATTTCATTTGCGAAATATTGACCTAAGACATACGGCCAATAACTTGGACGATATGGTCTACTTGTTTAACTCCATTTAAAAGCTTGTTTTCAACTGAATCTTCAAGCAGCTAAATCCTTGATTTCTGTAATATCTGATTCAGTATGGATAAAAGCTTTGGTAAACGCATTCATCATTGATGAATGCAACAATATAGGCGATATTTAATGAAAATTTATTCTTTTTTTAAAACCCCGTGGTTCTGATCGTGTCGTATCGTGTATAGTATATCTGTTATCTTTCCGATAAAAGTGCCGGCGTTGCTGAGCATCGCAAATGAAAACGTCGAAAATTTAAGAAGGAATGAAATTGCATCGCATATCATTGAAAAATTCCGCAGAAACAACTTTCAGAAGAAATTTACAAATTATTATCGTATAGTGCATCGCCGCAATTAAATTTTTGTTTAAAAGTTGCAATATTTATTCACTAGCATATTATATCGTCGTCTTGCAGCTAATTCCATAGACAGGGTATTTAAGCAGACCACAACTCAATGGCATTTAATCACCTACTGTGATAAATACATCTCGCATAATTTTATTTGCTAAAGCAATCTCGTGTTCACCATAAACGATAAGTCAGGAGTTGGTATTTCGCATATGCTACTGCATAGGTATCTAGAATTACTTCAATTGGCACATCACCTCCCCATCCCTACCTAATAATAAGATTCCTCAAATGCGAAAACCATACTCTGAGGTCGATGAACGACATCAAACTTCAAAGTAAGAAACTGTGCAATGGTTTCAGCGGAACTTAATTCAGTATAGTACCACTCTAATAAATAGCCGAAGTAAAATTTCTTTACTGCGTTTCATTAAAACGATAAATATGCAAATTCACCTTTCAATATGTATACAATTGTGACTAAAATTTCACGTGGCAGTTTTTCTTTCATCCTGAATCATTCTTCCTGGAAATTTCAGAAACTGCTCGTTGAATCGTCCAAATCAAAATGGAAGCCTTAAACGAAGAATGTATGAACAATTGATGCATGGCTTTAAAAAGGACTAATCCGGACCAGCTTTGAAATAAAAATTTTAATGGGCAAATGGCGAAACTGACGATATTAAGCTTAAAAATGAATCAATTAAATCAACTGAATGGATGATTGATGAGGAAAATAAGCAGACTTACGTCAACATTGCCGACAAGTCTTAGGACACCATTCTTTCACTCGTTGACTGTACGGACAGTGGCCACTTAACATGGGACACATGAAATGTTTGTTTTCACATTCTATAATAGATACAGATTTTTTGAATACCAAAGATAAAAGGCATAACTTATGAATAATCACGAATCACTCATATTTTACACATAGCTTGCCCAGTCCTGATTGAAAGCACAAAACTATGCATATGATAACACTTTCACGTTTCCTTGCACACGTTGCAACATCGGCAGAACACGTGACACTGATATGGCAGGAAGCAAACCTCATTAAGAAAACAAAAATAATATTTTGTAGACGGCTACCTGCCTGCTTATTAGTTGGACCTTGACAATACCGTGGCGTACGTTTCTAAATGCGTTGGCAATAATGTGTTAACATCCGCATTGTTCCGTGCCCTGAACTCTGAATTGGCAACTGTCAATAATTTCAACATCTGACCAAGAATCATAATCGTTGGAACGGTGTATTTTATTCTTTATTATTCGGTTCTTTCATAAGAACTGAGCAGTATATGCAAAAAAATTCACTACTGTAATATAAATCTTGAAAATATAATGTCATATTACCCAGATCTTCTAGTATGAGAACCCATAACTGTTGTATCAAACATCGTCATTGACTTAAGATAGCTACGTAACCACTCCCGTTGATCTTCAACATCCATTGTCATTAATCTTCATAATCAAACCCAGA